ACGGGGCCGCCGAGGGAGCGTTCCAAGAACCCACGTGGGACGCCGAACGCCTCGCCAGCGAAGCGCTCAGCGTTTCACACGGGTTTTTGACGTCCTCTGGCGGCGCCTCGAGCGGTCCCGGGGCCCCTGTGGCCGCCAAGCCCCCAGCACAGTGAGGCGTCCCCGCCAGTCCGAGGGGGCGCGAAGCGTCCCGGGCGCTGCGGCGCGCGCGAAGGAAGTTGCCTATAGCGTGCTGCTGCAGCATGTCCTTTTTCGCGCAGGAATGCCGCCGCTGCCCACGCTTGCGCGGCGAAGCCCAAAACAGGTGGTGCGCTTGTCTCCCAGTGCCAGGGCGTCATGCGAGCTCTCCGTCACCCCTTCGGCCACAAGCACGAGCGGCCCTAGGAAAAAGTGACCTTTGGTGCGCGGACGAAGGGGGCGCAAAATGACCCCATCCAAGCGCGCGAGCAGCCGCTAACGCATCGCGATCAGCGATCTGGAGGACCCCGATGAGCCCGCACCCAAAAGTCATTCCGGCGAAGGGTCACTCTTACGTGTAGTCGACCCCTGCGGTCTGGCCAGGCTGGGTGTCCGTCAGTGGGCTAGGTGCTGGGGCCGCCTTACTTGCTGGGGCGAGTGTCCGCGGCGGGCTGCGCACGCCGGCGTCGCCACCTGGCCGCACGAGGATGAAGGGATGGGGCGGCAGTCATCACGGTCCCGCCGCGGAGGGCGGAGGCGCTGCGGAGGTGCCTTATGCCAGGCAAGGCAGAACATCCGAGCTGGCCAAGCGCGGAGCGTGCCCAAAATGCCTGCGTGAATTCGCATGCAGCCTGCCCATACAGCCCCAGGCCAGAGGCCCGAGAGAAGAGGCGGCTCACGTAGCCTGGAGCCGCCTCTGGCGCTCTGGGCGTGACCGAACCCTGCCATGGCGGCCGAGTCTGCGGCAGCGGGAGCGATCGGAGCGCGGCACCCCTCAGGCTGCCTCGCCCAGGACGCTGCGCCACCCCTCAAACGTGTTGACCTCGCAGTCAAACCCGAAGCGGCTCGCGCGGGCAGGCGCCCCTGTCGGCTGGGTCTGGCCCCCCGCCCATTCCCTCAGCCGCCCTCCGCCCACAACCTCCTGCAATTCTGGGGCAGCGGGACCGGGCCAAGTGGGTAGGGCAAAAGGGACGGCCCGCGAGGCCGCAAAACACTCCCTGGCCCATCCCCCCAGCCGCCCCGCACCCCGAACCTCTGGCAGTTGCGGGGGAGGAGGAAGAAAGGGAGGAGGAGGAGGAAGAGGAGGAGGAGGGGGAGGAGGAGGAGGAGGAG